GAGATGAAACCAATGGAGTGTTGTGGGTTGTCTTTTTACTCTTTGCTCTTGGGGGGGCACACCACCCCGCTCACAAATAAATCTCATGGAGGCTTATTCTTTTTTATGAATGCCTGGCCTTAGCTTGGCTTGTTTCTAGCCAGCTTTTCTTAACTTAAATTATCCCATCTACCTTTTGCCTCTGGGCTTTTACCTTTCTCTTACTTCTGTATATCTTACTTTCACTCTCACTCCAAGGATGGCTGGGTGGTTGGGTGGTTGGCCCCTAGCATACTCCTCTCCTTTTCTTACTCCTCCCAACCTCCTCCCAGATTTCTCCTCCTATTTATTCTTTCTGCCTTCCAGCACCACCTATCCTTAGTTCTGCCTTGCTATTGGCTATTCAGCTCTTTATTAGATCAATCAGGTGTTTTAGACAGGCAGAGTAACATAGCTTCAGAGAGTTAAACAAATGCAACTGTTAGGGTCCTAGAGTCATCCCACAAAAGACCACCATCCACATATGCAATTAGTAAGATTAGTAAGTGTATTTATTATCTCGAGTAAAAGTTCCAACATGCTGGGGCTGCACATCCCACACAGGCAAAATGGTGACCCCAAGAGAAGCTCACAGGCTCCTTTTATACACAGCGAAAGTAATATTAAGGCAGTTGGGTCATTTTATCTGTGATTGGCTTAAGCAAGTGGCAACTATGTTAGTATATTTCTAATTGGATATGGCTAGCAGGAGCTGGCCATCTTTGGGTAAGTTTGGTCAAGTTCCAAGGTGGGGGTAGAGGATTTGTCCCTATTTGCTCATTTCTTTGAGATACTGTAGGAGATGGCCAAGGCTTGGTACATGCCATCTCCCTCATCTCTGCTGTCAGAGGTGTTGACGACTGATTGTCCACTGTTCATGGTTCTTTCAGAAACTGCTTGCTCAATCTCAGGAAACTGAAACTGAGGCCTGATCTCTGACAGAAGACTGAGCATCCTGTTATGGCGTCTGCTAGGCTTTCTCAGCAACATAAGAGAATGCAACACATCTTTGCATCATTAAAACAAATATTCCACAGCATAAACAAATGTAACACATGTTATTCCACAACAGTGGAGAGCCATATAAACTGATAGGCAGAATTGGTGATAATGAGGAAATGGACAATACCAAAGAAGAAAATCATGGTGGGCTGACAGCATCTCTGCGTTGAATGGAAAGGGAACAGAAACTGCACCAAGTGCTCCTAGCCTCTGCCCAGTGCTATTCAGATGCCAATGCACACTTCTTCAGTTACAATATGCACAGACCTTCCTTAGAGTTCATTATCTTGTCTGGCTTGTCCAGAAAAGGAAGCTTAGAAACATGGAAGAGTGGTGAAGGGCAGTGGTTCTCCAGTCCATGCCAGAACCTCCCTGGAGACTTCTGGGTAAAGCACAGAATCTGCACACTGAAGAATTAGTAAATTCTAGAGCAGGCTAGGCTTCGATAACTAATAGATAGACCTGCAAGGTGGTGTGTGGTGGCTCATGCCTTTAATTTCAGCACTTGGGAGCAGAGGCAGGCAGATCTCTGAGTTTGAGGCCAGCCTAGTCTACAGAGACAGTTCCAGGACAGCCAGAGCTACACAGGAAAACCCTGTCTTGAAAAACAAACAAAGCACAAATAGATACGCAAAAGCTAATGGCTTAAATATAACCAGCATTCATTCCTGCCTCGTGCTTTTTCAGTCCAAAGACATAGTCCTGACTGATGATTCTCCCTCATGCAGTAACTAGGTCCCAAGGTCTCAGACACCTTTCATCTCAAGGCTTTTCTACTCCCTGAGGTGTTAAGTGTTACCTGTTTCTGAAAAAGTCAAAGAGGATAGAATAAGGAGATAGAAGAGAATACATCTATTTTTTGTAAACTTTTGACTCAGTGACCTCGAAGAAAAGATATCTAAGACAGGACACCACAACACCGAGTCATCAAAGAAAATGTCAATAGGTCCATAAACTGGACTGCATAGACATAAACCCAGAAACATTTCAATGGGCTCTATTAACAGAATGAGAGTACAGGCCACAAAGGAAACCTTTTCATTGGACATATATCTGGCAAAAGCCTTACAACCAATGTGCATTAAAAACTCAATAATAGTAAGATCAAAATAATTGAAATGGGCAAAAGCTTTTAAAGTATTTGCAAAAGCGTATACTCAAATGGCCAAGAAACACATTGAAGATGCTTAATAGAATTGGTGATCAAGAAAAAATGCAAATTAAACTACAATGAACACCGTGGTATACATACCAGTAGGGCTAAAATTAGATGGACTGGAGTTAGCAAGTGTTGGTGATGGTGTGGAATATTGTAACTCTCCCATGTTGCTGACTGGACTAGAGCAATCACTGCAGGAAACAGCTTAGCACTTTCTGGCAGTTAAATATGCACTTGTGTGACTCAGCAATTTCATTACTAGGGAACAGAAAATATAGATTCACATGGAAACTGGACACAGGTATGCCTAGCTTTATCCACTGTGGCCAAAATTTCAAGCAAGCCAGATGTCTATCACCGATTGTAGCATATTCATACAATGGAAGGCTACTCAACAGAAAGTGGAGGAAGCTACAGAAACAACATGGATAAATTTTCAAATCATGTGAAGCAAAAACATCCAGCTCCATGCTCCATGTCACATGAGTCCGAGTATATGACATCCTAGAATTCATTGGTTTCCACCCACCCCTAATCCGGGTGTAAGAGATTTATTTGCAAAAGCATAAGAAGGTTCTTTAGGGTGGGTGATTCAGATGCTTTGAGGTGAGTGTGGTGGTCTACATGACCAGATAGTGAGGCTATGTATCAACCTGTATACTGAAAAGGAACATCTCACAGTATATGAGTTATCCCTCAAATAACATGGGATGGCTGGGAAAGGTTTAAAGGATATGAACCTCAGCCCAGAAAGCACATGTATAACTTCTGCCCTCTTTTCTTATGGTTAGAACATGCCATCTTGAAGACTATCCAACTAGTAAAGGGCCTGGGAAATAAGGTCCAGCCGAGTGGCCATCCAGGAAGAAGGGGGAAATTGTTTTTGGTGAATTTGATTTGTCTTTAATGTCAACTTTCCTGGATTTTGAAATCACTTTGGAGACACACTTCTATATATGTGTAGACTGTTTCCAGAGAAGTACAGCTGATGAAGGGAGACCTGACCTGAATACAAATAGTGCCATGCCATGAGCTGGAGTTCTGTACTGAGAAAGGGAGAAAGGGAGAAAGGGAGAGAACACAAACATCAGCATTCATCTCTCATCTTCCTGGCTGCAGACACAGTGTGACTAACCCCTTCTGACTCCTGCCACCATTAATGCAGGAAATGCGCGCACTACTGATAAAGAGACTATTTATTAAAAGATTATATTTGGAGGAACAACTCACTAATGCAGGATAAGGCAGATTCAGTCACAGAGTCCTGGAAGGCTGAGAACTGGTCCTATGCTGCATCTCATAGCCTGATTGGGTCCCCACCATCCAAGAGTGCGAGAGAGAAGGGACCCACCATACATGTGCCCCAGGTCTTAGGCTACTCAAGAGGTCATGCCCTAGGGACTGGTACCCCAAGGCCATAGGTGGAACAAATACCCACTATATACCATGATGGAAGTATCCCCTCAATCTGTAAGCCAAATTGTTATTTCTTTCCTTTAAGTTGCTTTTATTGAGTATTTCATTACCACAATGAGAAAAGTGGCTGCTACAGTGAACAACAGCACTGTGACCACAAGTGTTGGGAGCCAAAAAATGGATGACTGCGCTCTGGCCTTTCTTACATGGATGATCTGACGTAACTACACCCTTGACAACCGTTACTAAGTTACAAAAAACAATAACTCCGGGAAAAAACACAAAATGTACCTTTAGATTAATATACTTTTAGAATAACTTCCTTGAACATGTTCAGGTTGGTTGGTTGCACAAGCTTTGGACCAAAGAGACCTTGCGATCCTATTCTTCAGAAGAGACCTCACCTGGACCCTATTCTTCTATTCTTCAGAAACTTTCCATTCCCCCCCTTTCCCCCTATTCATTTCTCCTATCTACCAGCATATATAAACCTGCTTCCCCTTGCAATAAACGAGACCTTGACGCAACTCAGACTGACTCTGTTTTCTTTACATGCTTGGTCTCCTTTCTCTCTCGCCCCCATTGTATTTTTAGGAGGAGCCTCCTCGAGTCTTACCTAATAACCTGGCCTGTTGGACGGGTCACACAGGCAACCGTCTACTTCCCAAATGGTCACTGGACACCACTTCTGAGACAGGTAAGTTAGGTAGACTACTCCATCCCACGGTGTTTGAACAGAATACCTGGTGCTAGGTAATTTCTTTTTTTTTTTTTAACTTTCTTCTTATTTATTCTTTGTGTCTTTCACATCATGCAGCTTGATCCTATTCATTTCCCTGTCCCTTCACATCCACCCTCTGCCCTTGCAACCTCCCCCCAAAATTAAAATAAAACAAAATTTAAGAAAAAAAAAAGGAGAAAAAGTTACAGTCTCATCATGGAAGCTGTAGTGTGACACAGTGAGTCACTCAATAAGCCCTTTCTTTTATCCATATATCTTTACTTGCAAGTGTTCATTGCAAAGAGTCGTTGGTCTGGTTTGAGGCCTATAGTTTCTGCTACACTATCAATGCTGGGTCCTCACTGGGACTCCTCTTGTTATCCTGTTATTGCCCTGTGCAGTGGAGATCCTGCAGCTTTGGTTCTGCAAGAACGGTCCCTTCAGGTGCTCCACAGATCATAGACAGGGTGGATGTTGGAGTAGGCCAATTCATAACCCTGGCTCTGGGCCTGGGTAGTCACAGGGTTGGTCCGCCCACCAACTCTCCTCTGTCCCCACCACCAGGGTGAGCTCTCCAGCTTTGCTCCTGGCTAGTTCACCCCCTGCAACAATGAGCAAGGGGTGGGGCCAGTTTTCCTGCTTTTGTGCCCTCAAGGTCAGCTCTGACACACCTACACCATCAGGACCAGCTCTACTGCGTTGCCCAGGAAAGGTGCAGGGGCCACTCTCCCAAGAGCTGCAGCAGGTGAGGGGCAGGAACAGCTCTCCCACTCTTAAGGCTTCAGGGCCAGCTCTCCCAGCTGCAACAGGCAGCCAGAGGTGGGGGTGAGGGGGCATCTCTCCCCCTGCCCATACCACCATATGGCAGATGAGGGATGGGGACAGATCGCGCATGCTCATGTTCTCAGGGGCTGGTTTGCCCACACCCCATCAATAGGGTCACTTCTGTCTGCCCAGGTGCAGGTGCAGGGCCCGCTTTCCGGAGTGCTGCAGCTGATAAGGGGCAAGTTCAGCTCCCTCACCCACCACAGGTGGCAGGGGCAAGGGGGGAAGGACATCTTTGTTTGCCCTCAACAACACCTGGCAGACCAGGGGGTGTGGCCAGCTAACCCACTGTCACACCCTCAGGGCCAGCTCACGCAAGCCTCCACCAACAGGATCAGCTCTGCTGTGCTGCCCACGTGAGGAGCAGGGCCCGCTTCCGGAGTGCTGCAGCTGGTAAGAGGGAGGGTCAGCTCCCTCACCTGTTGCAGGTGGTGAGGGTCAAACTGTAAGGGGGAGCAGCTCTCTCCTGCCCACGCTGCACCATGACAGACAAATAGTGGGGACAGCTCTCTCATACTCACAGCTTCTGGGCTGGCTCACCCACACACCCCCCGCCAAGAGGGTCAGCTCTACTGTGCTGCCCAGGTGAGGTCCAGGGCCATAGTTGGTGCTATAGTTGGTGAGGGGCAGGGACAGTTCTTTTGCTCTTATAACCTCATGGCCAGCTCTCCCATCCACCTCAGGTGTAGAGGGGTAGGGGGAAGGCATCTCTCCCCTGCCCACACCACCATATGGCAGATGAGGGGCAGGGCCAGATCTCCCCTGCTCATGTTCTCAGGGCGGCTCACCTCCCACTCCATGTCCCCATCAACAGGGTCAGCTCTGCTGTGCTGCCCAGACAAGGTGTAGAGCCCACTTTCCCAAGTGTTGCAGCTGGTAAAGGGGAAGGCCAGCTCCCTCACTAGCTAGAGGCAGTAGGGGAGAGGGAGGAGGGCATCTCTCCCTCCCTCTGACCACCACACCGCAGACAAGGGAGGCGGTACCAGCTGTGCCCCCTCACACCCTCAGATCTGGCTCACCTGTGCCCCTGTCTACAGGGTCAACTCTACTGTGCTGCCCAGGTGAGGCACAAGACCTGTTCTCCCGAGTGCTGCAGCTGGTGAGGGGTTGGGTCAGGTCCCCCACCTACTGCAGGTGTGGAAGGGTGAAAGGAGGAGGGCATCTTCCCCTCACCCGTGCCACCACATGGCAGAGGAGAGGGGTGCAACCTGCTCTCCCATACTCATGCCCTCAGGGCCAGCTCTGTTGTGCTGCCCAGCGGGGAGGTGTAGGACTCTCTCTCCTGAGTGCTTCATCCAGTGATGGGCAGGACCAGTTCTCCCTAGTGTTGCAGTCAGTGAAGGGTGGGGCCAACTCTGTACAGCCCTATCCTCTTGGCCTTTGGTGGTATCAAGAGCCACAGACATCAATCCAGATGGTAGCTGCATCCAGGTCATGAAGCCAGACATGGGCCCAGGCATTACCATGGCCCTGGGTAGCAATCAAGTCACTCACCCCTGCCTGCTCCTCGCCACTTTCACCTCTTCAGATATGCCTCTGTCCACAGGACAGGAATCATTCTGCCCCTCTCTCCCATACCACACCATACATTTGCTCACCGTAATAGTGCCTATCTGCCCAGTGCCACAAGGTGCTGGGTGGGCCAGGGTTTTCTCATCAGAGTCCAGGATGGACTGCTCCAGGCCTGCATGTGGGTCTCCTTGTCTGGCTCAGTCTGTCATGGGACTGGGCAGGACCATGCTTTTTCCTCAGAGTCCAGGGCAGTCCCCTGATGCTAGGTACTTTCTAAAGAAAAAAGGTATGTGCAACAGTTTGGGAGGCTGAAAGCCAAAAATTGGGAGGCCCCATCTCTTCAGCCCATGGTGAGGGCCTCTTGGATGTGTTACAACGTGGCAGAGGAGCCAAAAGAGAAATGTCTTATGAGTACAGAAAAACCCAAGCCCATGGAGTGACCTCTATTTACAACGACCTACTCTCTGGAGAACTAGCTCTCTGGGACTGGAGTTACAATTGCTTGTGAGCTGCCATGTGGGTGCTGGGAATCGAACCCAGGTCCTCTGCAAGAGCCGCCAGTGCTCCTCACTGCAGAATCATTTCTCCAGTCCCTTGAAAATTAACTTTCCCTCAAGCCCGACAGTAATCCCTTCCCAGGGTGATGACCTAATTACATTAGCCACCACCCCCACCACACTGTCACACTGGAGAACAACCCCTACTATGTGAATCCTTGGAAGACAAAACATCCTTATTAATGTGGGGAACAGCCTTCCAGAAATGACATTTCGAAACCCAGTCCTAAAAGAACAAAGCAAGTGGGAAACATGATCTGAAAAAGCAGGAGAAGAGGGGATAAGCATTCTGGGAATTGGTGAATTGTTCTGCAACTGGTGGAGAGAGGTTGGTGAGAGAGGTGAAGATTCCTGAAGCCTACCATGAGGAGCTAAGAAGCAGGGACCATATTCCACCCACCCTAAGAACTCTGGAAAGGCTTACAGGGAGTTCAGGCTTTTATAGTGAGAGGTGTCTATTTTCCCACCCTGTATAGGACTCCCCTCCCACCCCGGTCTAGCTCCTTCCCATGCACTTGGGAGTAGGGCAGTTCATGCCTTTGGTGCATCCCAAAGGCTGGGCTGGAGGCAGCCTCTGAACAGGAGGAGCTGAGAAAAGTCCCAAGTGGTGACTAAGGCTGCACTCCAGGAAGCAGGAAGATGGAGGAGTAAGCGGCAGAGGCAGGAAGTCATGTATGGCTAGAGCCTACTCCCATCTGAGTCACAGCAAGGCAAAGGCTGCTGTTGCCCAGCAACAGAAGTCCCAGCTCCTGGCTTGGATTCCAGCTGGCTAACCCTTCCCCTCCCAAGGAGGGCAATCTGGTCTCCAGCTACCATATGTCAAAGGCCTGACCTCACCTGCATTAAGCTACCTGCCATCCAGCCTGTCCCAGAAAGCAACAGCTTGAGATGGAGGACACAGAGTCCACTGTACCTTTGCTCCCTATCCCACTAAGAAAAATCAAAGCTGGGGGCCTCGACCAAGCATGCACAGCTAACAATAAAATTTCTGGCTTCTCCCTTTCATATGTGAGACCACTTTATCCATTAGGTGCAAGCTGGAAGTCCCTAGGGCAAGAACACTGAAAGCCTAGGAAAGAAAGATTGGTTCCAAAAGATGAAAAGAAAACTGAAAAATCAAATTGAATAAAATGTCTAACGCTTATAAAGTTGGCCATTGCACTGGCTGCATGAATTGGAGCCGTTTATAATGTGTAATTGAATCGGTCTCTTCCGACCAAATCATTTCAAAAGCAAATTTATTTAAAATCCTTTGATTTGTTATAGCAAGGGGAAAAAACATCTAATGAGAGATAAATGTTACATATGATGAGAGAAGCTTCCAGAAGTAAGTGGTGACAACCCAGTGGAGGCTCTGCATGGCACTAACTGGACCATCCTCTGGTAAACAGGGTTTTGAGTTAGAGCTGCAGCCTGGATGAAGGCTGTCCAGGAGCAAATCGGTCCTGCAGAACGCTCCTGAATACAAAAGCCTGGTGTGTCGTGAGCTGAGCTGCAGCCTCAGAGACAACTGCCTCCCACCCCGGCTGAGCATGCTCACTGCAGCTCCCCACACCCTGCAGAATCCGCTGATCCTATTAGCGATAAGGGGCCAGAGGAAAGCCCAGTCTCATGTTCCAAACAGATTATATTGATGGAAACAAGATAGAGGCTGGGTGCTCAGCTGTATCAGGGTGCCTGGGAGAGGCCTCCCTACAGTCAAAAGTAGCATATCCATGCTGTGTGGGAAAACAGGAGATGAACAGTGCTGTAATCTCCTTTTTAGTGAGATAATCTCACATGCCCAGGGACCCAGCTCCCCACCCCCACCCATCTTCACAAGGCCTCTGGAGAGAAGTTTAGGGAAGTAGCTGTAGAGTAGAAGTCAAGGCTCGGGACCTGGAGACCTGGCCTCTCCTGGATACAGTCAAACTAGCTGACTCCAGCAGAGAAATGGTTCGCCCCTCTGAACATCCATTTCTTCGTGTATAATATGTAAGGGGGGGGGGGGGAGATGGCCAACTCAAAGCTTACCTCCAGCTCTAAAGGCCGTGAAGGTCAGCTTCTCTCTGCAGCCATGCAGATCCCACTCTAAACTCTGAGAGATCCCAAAATCCCATCCACACTGGAGAACTCAGTCCCCACTGGAGGCCCTGCAGAAAAGGCTTCTGGGTCCCTGCCCCTTGTCCTCCTACGACTATTGGGGCTACTGGTCCTGTCCTGGATTCCATCATTTCCATTTAATAGACACCTGGACATCAGTGATGTTAGGGACCCCAAGTGTTTTTCCTCTTAACACAAGAATCTCCTGTGGTGTAACTCCACTGGCCCACGCCCATCTCTATGCTGCCCTGGTCACACAGTCTCCTTTGCCGTACTTTGTAACCCTCAATACAACAGTATACGTTTTCCTTGATATAGTCATTCCTCTTTCAAGGAAATATTCAAAGAGAAAGATAACACTGCCTTCGCTGTTTCATCTCATCTCACCATTGCTGGTACCCTCACTCCTCTTTCCCTTCCATCGGAGTTGCTGTCTGGCGCTGCTGTCTCCACTTATCTCGAAGAATTTCCCTCAGCATTTTGTGTTGTGAGTGTCTGTCTGCTCGGCGGCGTTTGCTCATCTGAAATGGCTTGGTTGACGCCTTCGTTTTGATATGAAATGGACATTTTTCACCGGATGCAGGATTTTGCATTGGCTGCTTGGGCTGTTTGTTTTGTATTTCTCCAGACAGCAGCATCACTCTTATTGTCTGGGGATCTCTGCTGTCAGGGTGAGAAATCCATTATCACTCGCCTCAGTGTTCCCTTGTATGTAAAGCCCTCTTGCTCTGCTTCAATGTCTCCCTCTCTTTGCTTTTTTGGTGATTTGGTGTTGATCCACCCAGGTGTATTGTCTTCTTTGCATTTATCTAACTGTGGGGTTTCCTGGGTTTTCCTAGAGCTAGGTATTTGTGTTTTCACAAAACTGGAGAAAACTTGGGACACTGTCCTTTCTTCACACTTCTTTGCCCAATTGTCTCTTCTAGTCTTCTGGTTAATTACACATATGGCAGGCCACTTTGTGTCATCTCACATGACACTAAGGCCAGCTAGTTTCTTTCCTGCCACTGTAACAAAGCCACCCGACAGAAAGAGCTTAAGGTAAGAGAGAGCTGATTGGCTGGGCGGTGGTGACACAGGCCTTTAATCCCACAGCTGACTTTATCTCAGCTATTTTTTTCTTCTCTACAAATTGGATAATTTCTTTGGTCTATCTTCAATTTCATGCATCTATTCATTTTCACTGCCATCTCCAATTTGCTATTAAGCCCATTAGTAAACGTTTCCCCCTTTCCTAATTCA